ATAGATGGAGATTCAGATACAGGCCATAATGCTCTGTTGGCTCAGGTCAGTGATAGATGGAGATTCAGATACAGGCCATAATGCTCTGTTGGCTCAGGTCAGTGATAGATGGAGATTCAGATACAGGCCATAATGCTCTGTTGGCTCAGGTCAGTGATAGATGGAGATTCAGATACAGGCCATAATGCTCTGTTGGCTCAGGTCAGTGATAGATGGAGATTCAGATACAGGCCATAATGCTCTGTTGGCTCAGGTCAGTGATAGATGGAGATTCAGATACAGGCCATAATGCTCTGTTGGCTCAGGTCAGTGATAGATGGAGATTCAGATACAGGCCATAATGCTCTGTTGGCTCAGGTCAGTGATAGATGGAGATTCAGACACAGGCCATAATGCTCTGTTGGCTCAGGTCAGTGATAGATGGAGATTCAGATACAGACCATAATGCTCTGTTGGCTCAGGTCAGTGATAGATGGAGATTCAGATACAGGCCATAATGCTCTGTTGGCTCAGGTCAATGATAGATGGAGATTCAGATACAGACCATAATGCTCTGTTGGCTCAGGTCAGTGATAGATGGAGATTCAGATACAGGCCATAATGCTCTGTTGGCTCAGGTCAGTGATAGATGGAGATTCAGATACAGACCATAATGCTCTGTTGGCTCAGGTCAGTGATAGATGGAGATTCAGATACAGGCCATAATGCTCTGTTGGCTCAGGTCAGTGATAGATGGAGATTCAGATACAGGCCATAATGCTCTGTTGGCTCAGGTCAGTGATAGATGGAGATTCAGATACAGGCCATAATGCTCTGTTGGCTCAGGTCAGTGATAGATGGAGATTCAGACACAGGCCATAATGCTCTGTTGGCTCAGGTCAGTGATAGATGGAGATTCAGATACAGGCCATAATGCTCTGTTGGCTCAGGTCAGTGATAGATGAAGACGTGCTGCATCATGTCTTTGACCTGGGTCATAGAACAATATGTTCAGTTCAAAAGCAGATTGTTACATATATCAGAGTTGTATCAGCGTTAGGACGCGTAAAGAGAAGCCTTGAGCAACACATATCAATGTTGACTTCAGTTATGCAATATCTAGAGTAGATATGTGTTTGTTTACTCTGGTCTATTTAATGTACAGTCATTTCCTCAATGGGGGCAGTCGATTTCGGACGGCTGCAGGTGGTATTGGTATCGGTTCTGTTATTCATTCTAATTGTGCACATTTACTAATGAATAAACTCACACTTTGTTTGGAATTACAGCTCTGAGTTGTTTACATTATTTTACTCTCGGTATGTGCAGAATTTCCACAACAGAAGCATCAGGAACTAAAGTGAAAATTTGCATTAAACAGAAACAATGCAAATCCTTATTTACATAAAATTCAAAAGATAAGAAAAGGAAGTCGAGTGTGTGTGTGTCTCTGTGTGGGTGTGCGTGTCTGTCTCTGTGTGCGTGTCTGTCTGTGTGTGTGTCTCTGTGTGGGTGTGCGTGTCTGTCTCTGTGTGTGTGTCTGTGTGTGCGTGTCTGTCTGTGCGTGCGTGTCTGTCTGTGTGTGTCTGTGTGTGTGCGTGTGTATCTGTCAATGCGTGTTTGTCGGTGCGCACGCGTGTGTGTGTGCGTGCGTGTCTGTGTGTGTGCGCGTCAGTGTGCATGTTCTCCCCGAAGTAGTCTGAGATCATACACATAAGTTCACTGTGTCATCCATCCAACTTCAGCTCAGCCAATATAGACCTTGTTCTAAAGCCCAGTACGGCGTTGACTTTATTTGCACAAACTGTACTGACATGTTTTTGATTGTGTCACTTCTGTTAATGATGCTGATGTAGCTACTGAGTTGGTAAACATGTTGGTGAGGAGTGTTTTGGAAACTCAAACTGATAACCCATGAGTAAAGTTATATGGAGACCATTATTATTATTATTATATAGACTGAGGCTAAGCCCTGGCAGCGCAGACCCAGAGGACAGGCTAGGGAGGGGACAAATAACCCTTTTTGCCAAAACATTGTTTCAGAAACGTGACCAACCTCTCCATGAGGAGGGATCACATCTCCAAGAGGGAGACACAGAGCGCCATCACGCCTTGGCCACGAGGGTCGAGCCAGAGGAGGGGTCTGAGTCCGGCGAATGCCAGGAGGAGCCCTAACCAAAAGTGCCGGGGGCACCCCACCGCGAGGGTCGACGCCCCATCATGGGTCCAGCCCACCGCAGGTGGACCCCAGCTGCCCAGAGCCAAAGGGGACCAACGAGACGGGTCTGAGGACCTTCTCCAACGCAAGGATGCAGCAAAGAAGTGGGGGCGGCAGTAACCGACTTCCAACGCAGAAGTGGAGCCGAAGCAGGAAGGCTTGCTCCCCAACGGCCGGAGGGACCTTGAGGGTCCCCACGACAAAACCTGGTCTGCCTTCTGACCAGGTGTTACACAGATAGAAGCTCTGAGCCATGGGTCAGGTACATTGTTCCCCGCTTTTCCACGAAGCGGAGTCAGAGACTGGGACAATCGGCTGGTCTGACCTGGAGGCCGGGACGCCCACCCCGAGGATGGGGGTGGACTGAGAGAGGCTATCTCAGCATTGCGTAAAAACGGGCTTTTGAAACTGTTCTGTCTACGTTTCAGGATTAGCACAACTTAGCATTAGTTTGTGGTACACATATATGCTAGGGTTTTCAAGCATTGATAAATCAGTGCACTAACTCTGATGCTTCCACCCACTCTGACCCCATGTGGAAAGCACAGGAGGTCAGAAAAGTGTGAGGCATCCATTTTTAAGGTTAAGTGTTGCAGATCTAATGACAAAGCATTAGACCCAATAGATTGGCTTTGACTTGGAACCATCTTTGGACCAGGTCTATTTTAAATCCACATACTCAGGTTCTACTCTCAGGGAGAGAGAGAGTGCACCCAGCACTGCTGGAGTGTCTACTGTGTGGGCACAGCGTCGACTCTGGGAGAGGTGAGGGTCGGCTGATGACCCATCGGGTCCAGTAAGACGTCTGTGACCCAGTCAGGTGATTCATCTAAGCAAGTATATAAGTGTGGGTTTTAATATTGTAATAAAGTTAGCTTACTATTGTGTGTGTTGGCTCAAATGTTCAGATTTTATGTTAATTCATAATCATTGTGATTTCTATTATTATTTTAAGTTGATTAAGATAAACCAAGGTTTTATATTTATGAAGAGATAGGATTGTTATAGAAATATTTTAGTGAAGCAACCTGAGTGAACACCAAATAGTTATGAGTGTAAGTTATGAACAGTGAACTCTGGATTCAGATACAGGCCATAATGCTCTGTTGGCTCAGGTCAATGATAGATGGAGATTCAGACACAGGCCATAATGCTCTGTTGGCTCAGGTCAGTGATAGATGGAGATTCAGATACAGACCATAATGCTCTGTTGGCTCAGGTCAGTGATAGATGGAGATTCAGATACAGACCATAATGCTCTGTTGGCTCAGGTCAGTGATAGATGGAGATTCAGATACAGGCCATAATGCTCTGTTGGCTCAGGTCAGTGATAGATGGAGATTCAGATACAGGCCATAATGCTCTGTTGGCTCAGGTCAGTGATAGATGGAGATTCAGATACAGGCCATAATGCTCTGTTGGCTCAGGTCAGTGATAGATGGAGATTCAGATACAGGCCATAATGCTCTGTTGGCTCAGGTCAGTGATAGATGGAGATTCAGATACAGGCCATAATGCTCTGTTGGCTCAGGTCAGTGATAGATGGAGATTCAGACACAGGCCATAATGCTCTGTTGGCTCAGGTCAGTGATAGATGGAGATTCAGATACAGGCCATAATGCTCTGTTGGCTCAGGTCAGTGATAGATGGAGATTCAGATACAGACCATAATGCTCTGTTGGCTCAGGTCAGTGATAGATGGAGATTCAGATACAGACCATAATGCTCTGTTGGCTCAGGTCAATGATAGATGGAGATTCAGATACAGACCATAATGCTCTGTTGGCTCAGGTCAGTGATAGATGGAGACGTGCTGCATCATGTCTTTGACCTGAGTTGTTTACATTATTTTACTCTCGGTATGTGCAGAATTTCCACAACAGAAGCATCAGGAACTAAAGTGAAAATTTGCATTAAACAGAAACAATGCAAATCCTTATTTACATAAAATTCAAAAGATAAGTAAAGGAAGTGGAGTGTGTGTGTGTCTCTGTGTGGGTGTGCGTGTCTGTCTCTGTGTGTGTGTCTGTGTGTGCGTGTCTGTCTGTGTGTGCGTGTCTGTCTCTGTGTGCGTGTCTGTGTGTGCGTGTCTGTCTGTGTGTGCGTGTCTGTCTGTGTGTGCGTGTCTGTCTGTGTGTGCGTGTCTGTCTGTGTGTGCGTGTCTGTCTCTGTGCGTGTCTGTCTGTGTGTGCGTGTCTGTCTGTGTGTGCGTGTCTGTCTGTGTGTGCGTGTCTGTCTGTGTGTGCGTGTCTGTCTGTGCGTGCGTGTCTGTCTGTGCGTGCGTGTCTGTCTGTGCGTGCGTGTCTGTCTGTGCGTGCGTGTCTGTCTCTGTGTGCGTGTCTGTGTGTGCGTGTCTGTCTGTGTGTGCGTGTCTGTCTGTGCGTGCGTGTCTGTCTCTGTGTGTGTGTCTGTGTGTGTGGTGCGCAAGTCAGTTTTTTGTGTGTCTGTGCGTGTCCGTCTGTGTGCGTGCGTGTCTGTGTGCGCGTCAGTGTGCGTGTTCTCCCCGAAGTAGTCTATGAGATCATACACATAAGTTCACTGTGTCATCCATCCAACTTCAGCTGAGCCAATATAGACATTGTTCTAAAGCCCAGTACGGCGTTGACTTTATTTGCACAAACTGTACTGACATGTTTTTGATTGTGTCACTTCTGTTAGTGATACTAATGTAGCTACTGAGTTGGTAAACATGTGTCATTCAGCCAACTTCAGCTCTGTTATAGCAAATGTTTGGACACCCCTGGTCTTACATGTCACTTCTCTGCGTCTCTGGTGTCTTTAGTCTAACTTCTTCTGGACTCACCGATGGGGAGCATGGGCTGGTTCTCGCAGTAAACTCTGGGGCAGTAGCCGAAGTCGCCTTGTTGATACTTCTCCAGCTTCAGAACGAGACAGAAGCAGATTAGATAAAAACACATTTCTCAAAAACCACAAAAATTCCAGCGTAATCTGTCGAACAATGAGGAACCGAAACCTCACCTTTGCACAGTTATATTAACATTCTTTTTAAAATAACATTGTTTTTGTCTTTAGATGCATTATGGTAAAGATTCACAGATTTACCTTTAGCGGCCATAAAGTCATGTTTTCATAATCTTTGTCAAAACCACTCCTTTGATCTGACTCCGATGGATGTTGTTATAAACCACTTTTTAAAGCAAAGTCACAGATTCATGTGTTATACATGTGTTGAGGTTTATACACGGAAATATAGTAGAAGAAGAAGCATCTTTTTGTGCGGTGTACGCTTGTAGCAACCGCACAAATAGAGAGAAAGACAGAGTTTGTTCATGTTCCAACTGTGTCTCATATAAAGGAGGACACTTTGAGAAAATCACTGGAATGAGGCGGAGGTGGATCAAGGCTTTCCCAGATAAGCGCCCCCTGCAGGCCACCCCAATGAAACGCAGACATTTCTTATGTTTTTCTTTCCAAAAATGCCCAAAATCAAGACTCTTTTGAGAAATATTTGTTAGTGCTCCCTTAGAATTGAGTGTCCCCGATTAAGACTGTTCCAACAGCCGTACAGCGCACAGGAGGAGAGCCTTTGACTCCAAAACAGACTTTACAAGGTTTTCAATGGGAGCAACACTGTCCCACCTCTGCTCATGCGCCCCCTACAAGCCAGGTTCATGAAACACAAGAGTTTCCTTCTTTCTCTTCTGTAATGTGCAACGATGACACTGAAAAACCCCACAGTCGGACCAATAAAGGAGTCACCCACTGCTCATCATTAAACTTTTAGTAGATCTGAATCCCAAAATTGATCTAAAACATTGTTATGCTTTCCTTCAAGTAAAGATGTGTTTAGTTTAGTTTAGTTTATTAAGATCCCCATTAGCCACTGAGATTCAGTGGCTAATCTTCCTGGGGTCTCCTCAAAATCATTACATGCTTTTACATATTTTTATACATAAATCACACACACACACACACACACACACGACGATATGACAGCTCAGTGAGAAATCATTTACAACTATGAAAAAAGAAATAATAATAATAATAATAATAATAATAACAAATGAACTTTCTCCAGTGGCTTCAGTCCAACTCAAATATAAAACATTATATTTGATGTATAATTAATGTTCATGTGTGAAAAGATATAGCTTTAATTTCCTTTGAAAGTGTGTGAATCAAAATGACCAATTGACCAAGAGAACCCACTAAAACAAAGGCAGAGGGTGAAAAAGCAGAAAGAGCTGGTACCATTTGGGCGATTCCTCGGTTGGTGAGGATGTACCGTGCGTGGATCAGACCGTACAACATCTCTGCTGCCTGCTCGATCAGGTCGCTCTGGTTTGGGTTGTCCTCCAGCTCCTCGTCTGCAAACAGAGGAACACATGGTCAGGAAAACTGCAAAACATTAAAACGTGTTTGTGTTTGTGTCATTGACTGTTGTGTGTTTTGTAGGAGAGCAATGGCGGCACGGTGGCTGAGTGGATAGCACTCTCAGCAAGAAGGTCCTGGTTCGAATCCCGGTCGGACCAGGGCCTTTCTGAGTGGAGTTTGCATGTTCTCCCCGTGTCTGCGTAGGTTTCCTCCGGTTGCTCCGGTTTCCCCTACCACTAAAAATATGTACAATAGGTCTGATATGTGCCTCCTGTACTGGCGACCCCACTCCCAAAAAAAAAAAAAAAAACAACAATTGTAAACCGCTTTGAGACTCCCATGTGCAGTGAAAAGGCGGTATATAAATAAAGATTACTTACTTACTTACAATGAAGGGTTCTGAATATTTGTTATTGTAGTGTGTGTCAATGGGATTTGAGTAATAAGCTTTTTTTCTTCGACCAATTCTTTTCAAAACCAAGCACAGGTTTTCTTGTTTTATTCTATTTCCATATTTTCTTGTGAATAATTGTTTGTATCTTTGTGCATGTTAGGATTTTTTTTTTTTAAATGAATGAAAAAAGTGCCAATCCCTCGAACAGATCCTACTCCATTAAACATTGTAAATATATTTAATTGATGTAAAATTCTACTGAAGAAATCTAACAAACTATTATAAAGAGCACAACCGTGAAGAATAGTTTAAATGAATGAATGTAGAACTGACACAAAGCAACTGAGGCCAGAGGCTAAAGTCACATCAAACTCGCCCAATGTTAACAGATCGCATGACATCATAGTTTTACCGACTACAGAACCTTTGACCCCGTGCATGTGAGGTCCAGGCCACGCCCCCTCTCCATGACATCATAGTTTTACCGACTACAGAACCTTTGACCCCGTGCATGTGAGGTCCAGGCCACGCCCACTCTCCATGACATCATAGTTTTACCGACTACAGAACCTTTGACCCCGTGCATGTGAGGTCCAGGCCACGCCCACTCTCCATGACATCATAGTTTTACCGACTACAGAACTATTGACCCCGTGCATGTGAGGTCCAGGCCACGCCCCCTCTCCATGACAGACTGCGTTGACCCCGTGCATGTGAGGTCCAGGCCACGCCCACTCTCCATGACATCATAGTTTTACCGACTACAGAACTATTGACCGCGTGCATGTGAGGTCCAGGCCACGCCCACTCTCCATGACAGACGGCGTTGACCCCGTGCATGTGAGGTCCAGGCCACGCCCACTCTCCATGACAGACGGCGGAAGTCTAACTGCGAGTCTACGGAAACCTGACCAAAATAACCTGTTTCAGCGAATTACAGCCAAAACTGATATTTTGCAGTGCGGTTGTACTAACAGGACATAAACAAATGTGTATTTTATCTGATACCTGCTCGTCATGAAGACAGAAGACGACGATGGCGGCAATCAACCAAAAGAACTGGGATTCTTCCAAGTGCTCCAACAGTGAACACTTTTTACAAGATAAATCAATCACAATTTTGTATTTATTCTCTTTCCATTCATTTGGAGGACAATGACACACGTCAAACGTGTCTCTTACGTCTGTCCTGTCTGTGCGCTGCAACAGTGAAATTTCCTCACTGTGGCATAAATAAAAGATCTCTTATCTTAGACGTCAGGCGCGTTATGTATCATGTTTGGCTGTAGACAGAAAAGCCACAGAAAAGTGGACTATTGCTAATGCTACCAGCTAAATGTACATTGCTCCAGTGTGAGGGGATGCATTGTTAACGATAATGATAAAAATCATGTGGGGTGAATTCGGGCTAAATTAGACATTTCATTGAATCGATAAAATTGACTGGGGGCAGAAGGTACGGGTCAACATCCAGTTCGGCGATCCTTAACTTCTCCAAATACCACTCTTTGTGAGCCCTGACCTGATGACCTACTTCCACCAATAACATTATCAAACATGTGCTTGAAGCAGCCACTTCTCGATTTAGGAGAAGAGTCATGTTCTTAAGAGTTGTGTCCGTTTTTCTCTCGCTGCAATGCTAGTTTCCACTACTTCCGCCGTAAGCTCACGTACAATCACGTGACTGGATGATGTCGATGCATCTGGTCAATAATAATATTTGATTCATAGTTTTGCGGATCAAGCTGCACGGCCCCGGTCCCAGCCTCTGAGTGTGTTGGTGACAGACCTGGCTCCAGGTCCAGGATCATGTCCAGCGCCTGTCGATAGTGAGGCACCTGCTCATTCAGCCCCGTCAGGTTAAACTTGTCCTGAATATAGTCTTCATCCACCTGGAAATAAACACGTTACAATAATCAAACATAATCTCTGATGTAACTCGGCTCAATAAGACAGCTCTGGTTTAACTATAGGGCAGTGGGAGTGAGATCCAGAGGGTTGACTATAGGGCAGTGGGAGTGAGATCCAGAGGGTTGACTATAGGGCAGTGGGAGTGAGATCCAGAGGGTTGACTATAGGGCAGTGGGAGTGAGATCCAGAGGGTTAACTATAGGGCAGTGGGAGTGAGATCCAGAGGGTTGACTATAGGGAGATAGAGAAGATAGATAGAGAAGAAGGAGATAGGAGAACTATAGGCAGAGGCTCTGGAGTGAGGCGGTTAGAGCCTCTGTGACAGGGACAGGGGTGAGGAGGCATCAGGGTTAGTAGTAGTGGTAGTAGTAGTATTTTTATTTGAGCAGTTTGACAATACACAATAACATGCACTAATAATTAAAGAAAGACAAAAAAAAAGGCTCAAAAGGAGAAGGCCGAAGCAAAAAGCTTATATGTGCCTTCCCCATTATCAATTAATTCATTTAAGCGGCTGCAAAATATTTAAAATTCCACATGACATGGGTTCTGGATGTATTGCATTTTTTGGAGATGAGAGGTGGGAATTCTGTAGAGGGGACTGTTGCAGAAGTTGAGTCTGGAGGGGATGAAGGCGTGAACGAAAATGTTTGTTGTTGACTGGGCAAGGGTGGAAAGGTGGAAAGGTGGAAGAAGCATGTTTTTGGTGAATATGGCTGTTTTGGTGAAGAGGATTATGTTTGGTGGTAATTTTACACACAATTGATAAAACACAAATAATACTTTGAACACAGTCTGTGATGGGGGTTCCTTGCAGTAGTTTTATGCATGTTTACTCTTTATAAAATGAATGAATCTCTGAAACAGAACTTACCTCACAAAAAAACTCGTTCCCTCGGAGTCCACAGAACCAGGAGATCCACGACACTTCTTCCGAGCTGCTCATCTCTGAACTGTAACATTACACGGTCATGTTATTAATAATCAAATACGAAAACAACAAAGGTACTCATATATTTGATGATACACGCGTGCTAACACATACCACAGCAGACGCAGCTAGCATCACAATGTCAGCAACACACACTCAATAAAATAAAACAATATTATTTTCATTTACAGGAGTCTATTCGTCCTGACGTTAATATTAAATTAGAGACATATTCTAGAAACACAACATGGATAATTTAATGTTTGTCAATAACCGGTGTTAGCATGCTACATTCAGGCTAGCGGCTAATCTGGCTCATCGTTGTAACGGGCCATCAGATTTTATTTTACCATTTTAAAACTTAACTAACCTGAGTATAGAAGTGAAATGATCAATATACCTGTGTTTAGTGTTTTATCCCAGTGGCGAATGAGATATTCTTGATTTTAAGCCTATTTTGTGTGAATAAAATGGACCCCGCTGGAGCCTTCTTCAGAGGTCTGCTCAGGGTTGCCAGATAAAAACTAATTCAGCTCTTCTGCAAATATCAGGCGCACATTTCGTCAATAATGAATGCAATAATGAAACAATTGGTAAAAGAATATTCCTGAAACATATCTTTCATCCACAGATGTTTGTATTTGTACGTACTAAGATTTCATAAGGCCATTCCAAAGATAAAAAAGATTAGGGGGAAGAAGGCTGAAAAAAGATTGGGTTTTGGCAACGACGTTAGGAGAGCTGCTGCTGCCCTCTTCTGGTGGGCGAGTAAATACACATGGAATTGACAGATTTGATTGTTTTTCAATTTAAAAAAAACAGTACAATTTAGCTGGTCTTCCTGTGGACTCACCACCTGCAGGAGGATCAGGGGCTGGTGCTCTGTGAACTGGGTACAGCTCTGACTGCCACCCCCGACCCAGAAATGGATGAAGGGGAAGAAAATGAATGGAATTTGGAACAGGTATACTAATTAAATGGAATGACTGACAGTTCTCTTGCCAAATTCTACTATGCTTCAATATGTTTTTTTAATTGGTCTTAAATATTGTCAATGTATTCTGTATGAACTATAGAAATGTTGATAGATTAAAGTTACAAATATAAAACAGTTTATCACAACATGCAACAACATTAAACTAAGAAAAGTTGTGAATAATCTGAATAATGAGAGACACAAAGACAGTTTCCATTAAATCAAAAGTAGTTTATTTAACTTTGCCTTCTCTGTATAACTTTTATTATAATAAGACACTTCTCTGCTTGTACATTGCTCCCTTGAACTAAAATGGCAACATCTGTTTGTGGGAATGTAAGTTGGGGTAGACATGAAACAAAAGAAAACTTAGATGCATACCAATATACATACATGTGTGTATATTACGCTTCCATTAATAAAACCATAGATGCTAAAACACCTCGCACCACTCCAGTTTCCGCAGTAAAAAGCCGGAAACGTAGTACAATCTTTTGAGTATTTTCGGATACACTACTCTTTATTTTTGTATTTTTTCATCTGCTATACATACAACAATGCACACATCAACATGAGTAAGGAGTTAAAGAGGGATGTTGCATGACTTCTGTTAAGTTTAGGCCGGTAGCAGGCAAAAGGCGAGCTGCGTTCATGCTCTCAAGTCAAAAAAGTGTAAAAGGAAATCTATATCAAACTTTACTTGCTTTAAAAACAGCTTTTCTGCAGTTAGTTTACATATGCACACTGCCGAAACGCATGTACGTGGATGTATTCAAGGAGATTTCAATTGTTTTAACAGTAATGACATCGCTTTCACACAGCTATACTCTGTACCCCTATGGTCCCCACCCCGTGTTTTAATAGTTATTACTTTGAGACGCTGAGAAAAGACACGCACACGTATTCTACGCACTTGCACACATACACGCACACACCAAAAAATGCCCAAAACGCGGGACGTCCCAAGAAAAATAAACTGTTGGTAAACGAAACACAACCCCAACTTACAGCAGTGATTTGCGAGTGTCCAACCTCAAGACATATTTTCATCTTTTTATCATGACAAATTTGATTCCTGTCCAAACACTCAAGGTTAGCATTATTCATTGCAGTTGAAAAACAGAAAAAAAACACAATTAAAAAAAATCAACAACCGTGCTGTGAAACGCAGGCGACGAATTGTAGTCACCTCAAAAAAGTCTGAAGTTGTATTAATTTAGCCCCATAAAAAGCACAAACAGTCGTGCGTGTGTCTGCAGACCTCCTCGAGCATTCGTAACCCAGAAGTAGGTCAGAACAGCTGAATGCATGTTATTCTACAAGGAGTGCTTTTAAGAACATACTGAAACAATCCTATGAAAGTCACACACATGTTTCAGTTTCACTCATTCGCCTCCTACGTTTACCTGAAGTTATTTTTGAAGTGAAATAATAGCGTGTAAAGGTAGAGGCCATTGAGTCGATTGATACAGTCCTCAAAATGGTGAAACTAAACACTACTTTGTCCATGAATGAATGAGTTTGCTCCAGGTTGAGATGCTACGAAGAGGCTCAGAAAAAAGGGCCTTTGAATATTAAAAATGGACAGACAAAAATAAAGCAATGAATTAACAGCAGGTCAGTGGCAAAAGGAGTAGTTTTCAAATTAACATAAGAATGATGGTTTAAGAGGGACAGTAGAAACCTGAATGTGCGACTCTCAATCCTTCACAACATTTTGGGAAATAGAAATATATGGTTCAAGTCACTCCCATTTAAAGTTGGTATAAAGAATCAGCCATTAAAGCTGAAATACAGTGAGTAAAGAACGACTTTATTCAACTGCACAGTTTCAGTTGAGGGCTTCTACGGTCTGTGGGTTTGAACGAACGGAGGAAAAAAGAAAGTTTAGGATATTTTATAAAATATGTTTTAATGACCTGCTGTAAATGATGAAAGGAAACATATCTGTTAAAGTATAAACTGAAAAAGGACAAGTCACAAACACACAAATACATAGTTCTTGTTAAAAGATGACACCGCACTGCGCCCTAGTGTTGAGGAGATGACACAGCACGAGGCGCAGACACTGTACATAAATATAAAAGATCCAACACTGCTGATTATTCCCACTTCACACTCCGCACCAGTTCATGTATTTTCAGATTTCATTGTGCTTGCGACGAGCTCAGACACACGTGCAGCTCCGAGCCACATGCTTCAGTCCGAGATCCTCCAGAGACGCTGCAAAACTGAACAGAATTTACACCAAACGGACGGTCGTGATTTGTGGGCAGAGGTGAACACGTCTAAACTATACAATGCACCGACACCTGTGGCTCAAATGTTCAAGATCACTTTCTATTTTTCGGCGAGGGCCAGTTGCCCCGTTTCTCTCCTCTCCCGCCCCCGTTGGCCCCGGGGCCTCCTCCGGGGCCCATGCGCTGGCCTTTCCCTCCTCCTCCTCCAGGGGGCACCCTGCGGTTCTGCCGCTCCATGCCGGGCCGCTGGCTGGAGAAGCTCCTCTTGTTGGAGGCGGGCTCTTTCCCGGACATGTCGCTGACGGCGTGTCCACCGCGGCCCGGGTGGTGTCCGTGGTGATGAAACTTTCCGTCTCGTTCTCTGAACTCGGTGAAGTCGCTGCTCTCGGAGGCCGTCTCCCACTCCTCGTTGGCCTGGTCCGAGTTCTGGTTGTTGAAGTCGGGGGACTTGGCCCCATGGTGGTGGGGGCCCTGGTTGTAGTGGTGGTGGTGGTGGTGGTTGTTGGTGCTCAGCGTGTTGTTGTGGTTGGAGTTTGGGGCGTTGCCTGAAGGGGGCACTGCAGCCCCGTTGGTTTCTGCAGTAACAGCGTTTACAGAAGGAGACGACGGCCGTCCGGTCCCGATCACGCCAACGTTGATGCGTGCTGCGTTCTCGCGCTCCTTGAGCCGTCTGAACCGCGGCGGTTTGTCCTGCTGATGCTGTGAGCGGCCGTGGCGGCGGCGCCGCGGTGGACGCTCGAAGCCGCTTGGTGGAAACCCTCGGTTCTGCGGCGGCGCACTGGTGTTCAGCGCTGCGTTGGACACTTGTGCAACGCCACTGCCGTTCTCAGCGGGCGCTGGCGTCGGCAGAGGCTGAGGTGGAGGCGGCGGGGGCGCGGGGCCTGCTTCGCTGCTCTTTTCTTTCTTCTCGCTGTTTACGCTTCGTCCTGAGTCTTTGGGGGCCGGGGGTGGCCCCTGGTGTTGCGGTCTGCGGCCTGAGGACTTGGGGCCTCCGTGCGGCGCAGAGATTGGCCCGACACGGTGGCCCCCAGGGCCCCCCATGTTGCCACCGCCGCGGTACACATTTGCACCACTGCTGCCGCCCCCTCGGCCTCTGCGTGAGGGCACTCCGCGGGGGGTAAACACTCGGGTCTGGTTGGCTCGAGGAGGATGCGCTGGTTTGGGGTCTTCTTTGTCCGAGGGGCCGTCGCTGGCTCCGCTCTCGCTGCCCGTCTCGGAGCCGCGCTCTCTTCTTCTCTTGGGGATCTCCTCATACTCCGAGCCCTCGCTGCGTGTCTCGCTCCTGTTGCGCGCTCTGCCAGGGTTGTGGTGGGCTCGGTCGTGCCTGTGCTGCCCCCCCCCTCCCTCCTTTGGCTCGGGGGGGTGCCCCACAGAAGAGCGGAAGTCTCTGCGGCCGCTCATCCTGCCGCGGGACGCTCCTCCTGCTCCCGCGCTGCCGGTGTAGGAGCCTCTGTAACCTCGGCCCCTGCCATAGAACTCTCCTCCACGCCCTCGACCTCCACGGCCTTTAGCCGGACCCCCATGTGGGGCGGCCCGCTCAAAGGAGCGCTCCCGGTCCCTTCTGGGACCTGAGGAGGAGAGCTCCGCCTCTTTAGGGCCTCGTCCGGACGGTCGCTCTTTCTGGTTTCTTGGTTTGTGGTTTGCTTCTTCTTTCGGGGCCGGGGCTGCAGCCGCTCCCTCCTGATCTTTGTCTCTGGACTTTTCTGCTTCAGTTTCTTCTTTCTTATTTTCCTTGAGCGCTGGTTTCTTGATGGGACCGGCTCGTTTGCCAGAGTTTCCTCCAGTTTGAGGAGGTTTATGTTCAGGGTCATCTCTGTTTCCACGACGACCATGACCCACTGCGTTACTGCTGCCCGGCCGCGGACCCCACTGAGTCTCAGTCTTGTGTTCTCGGGGGCCTCTTTGGTTTGACTTGACATGCGGGTGCTGCTGCGGGTGCTGCTGCGGGTGCTGCTGCGGGTGCTGCTGCGGGTGCTGCTGCGGGGGTGGGGCTGGGGTGGGGCTGGGGGTTGTGGCCTGTTTACTGTGGGACGAGTGGGTGGTATGAGCGTTGTGGGCGGAGCTGCGGTCGCTGTGCTCGTCTCGTGCAGCCGGCGGTGGGTGCAGAGGGGGGTGGGGTTTGGCGTCGTCTCTGGGGGAGGATAGAGGGGGGTGCAGTGGGGGGGAGGCGTCGCTCTTCTTGGGGGCGTTCTCTGTGGGGCGCTCCCTCTCGTTCTTGTGGTGCAGAGTGAACTGTTGGAGGTGGGGGGTGGGCTCAGGGTGCTCCTGGCGCCCGTTGCGGTCGTAGTGTGGGTGCGGTGTCCCCCAGATCTGTCCCTGCTGCTGCCCCCGGGGGGGACCCTCATCCTGGGGCCCGAAGCTCCGCTCTGCACCGCGCTGCTGCGGGTGCGGCCTTGGCCCCTGGTCGGGGAAGTTGCTGTAGTTGCTTCTTCCGCTCATGTAGTGGTGCGGGTGAGTTCCGACCTGCGCCCCGACCGGAGGCGGCGTCTGGTTTGACCCGGAGCTCGGCTGCTGCACGGCGCCCACACCACCATCACGCACGCGATGAGGCGGCGTGTCGCTCCTACGGCCAAAACAAAAACATTTTTTCACTTAATAATAATAAATAAACTAAGAACTCTGTTATTGGAGACGATGTTGCACCTGGGGGCTTTGGTCACATCCTCTTCATCGTGAGGCTGTTTCTGCCTCAGAGGAGACGTGAGGCCGCGGCCTTCTGCTCCAGGAAACACTTCTGGACCCCAGGCCAGTTTAGGATCCATAGGTGGGGTGCCGCGATGAGGATGCCCCTGGTGTTGCTGTCGATCAAAAGGGTCTGAGCCAGAGCCGCCCGAGTCGGAGCGCTCACGTCCAATCAGACCTGAAACAAAAACCATGTTCAGTAAAACCCACCTCAGAATGAAGTCAGGGAAGCGGGGACTCACCAGAGGGGTGCATACCCGTGGGGTAGTAGTCCATGGGAGGGGGGCGGCCCTGCATCATCCTCGGGTCCATGTAGGGCATCATCATCCAGCGGGGGTCAAAGTTCATGGGCAGAGGAGGCGGTCGCACCATGTTCCCAGGTTTGTACATGGGCCCCTGCTTTGGGCCTGGCCCCTGCTGAGGGCTCTGGGGCTGAGGGGACAGCTGACTCTGGGAGGCCTGCCACTGCTGCTGCTGCTTCAGCAGCTGCTCCTACAGACGACACACACAGGTCACACTCTGCAGTCACAGCTGTTGTCGTGCTGTGGTACAGTTGTGTAACCAACACAAACCTGCTGCTGCCGTTGGAAGCGCGGAGGGAGTGACTTCTGGTATTTGGAGTATCCTTGTCCTGGTGGTCCGGACTGTCGACCTCCTATGACCTCCATCTTCACCTGGTCCCGCTCAGCTCTGAAGTGAGCGTTGCTGATGGGGTCCTCTTTTGCCTCTGGTAACGGGATCTCCTGGACCGGCTGCTGCGGCTGCTGCAGCGGCTGCAACGGCTGTGCCACGATCGCAGGAGGACACTGCTGCACGTCTGAACACAGGACAAATGTGATTAAATAAATCAGCTCAGACGTAGGGTCGGGCAATAAATCGAATTTAGCCAATTAATCGGCTTTAAAAAAAATCAAATTTGTGAAAAATTTGAAAATTGTGAAATCAAATGAAGGAAATTGTGATTTCCAGCAGCACAAGAATTATACTTATATCAGCGCAGTTTGTACAAGACTTTTATAATACGCGTTGGGTGAAACAAATTAGAAATAGTTTTGAAATCAAAACACATATGTTTAAGGGCAAAGTCTGTCTTCGGCGACTTTAATGAAAATCGATTAAAAATCGAAATCGTCCAAAGCTGGAAGTAAAATCGAGATTTAACTGTTTTGCCATATCGCCCAGCCCAACTCAGACGTGGACTAAGACTGTGCAGGACTCACCTGCTCCAGAGTCGTAGCTGCTGTTGCTGCTGGCTCGCTGCCGTTCACTGACCAGAGGAGCCTGGGGGCCAGGGTGGGGCTGGGCAGGGGGAAGGGGGGGCTCCTCGAGGTCCACACAGGGGGAGGGGGGCTGGCTGGTATTGGGGGAGGAGGCGGACAGTGAGGGGCTGGGGCTACCGACGGTGGCAGCAGTGGACGTCCCGTCGAGGCTGGGCGTCTTGCTGCTGGGGCCCTGCTGCTGCTGCTTCTCGTCAAGTCGCTTCAGTTTCTCGGCGCAGGCCGCTCGCCGCTCTTCCTCCATGCGCCGCTCTTCTTCCTCACGCCGGCGTCGCGCTCGTTCTACAGCAGCAGAGATCTCAGAGGACGACTGCTTCCTGCGCTGACGCCAGGTCTCATCCTCATCGTCGGCCTGCGCTCCAAGCAGCGCCTGAGGAGAAGTCCCTCTTGCGGCTGGAGGGTGTGGAGAGGGGCCTTTCCCTGGGACCAGGACCCCTCCCTGGTGTGACCGCTCCTACAGTAACATGAGCAGATGTTAATGATTGTTAAACACTAAACATGCCATGGGAAAAATGCAGAAATGACATTGAAGAAAAAAGAAAAGGGAAAAAAAATAACAAAATACAATGAATCTTCCCTGAGCCTGAGATGATGGTACATGGCTATGACTGTGACTCTGGGCTATGGCTGGCTACCTGTCGGTAAAAGGAGTAGGCCCCTTGTGCGAGGAGCACCCCTGGAGGAGGGGAGGGCTGCTCTCGAGGACCGCTCAGTCCAGGCCTGCGCCCCTGTGCATAACAACACAGTTAACCTACACTCACTGTTTCCATGTCTCGTGTAATCTCACTGCAGTCTAGTCGCTCTGGCACTTGTGGAAGTTCAGAACCCTACCTGGTAGTTGGGTGGAGCTCCAGGACCGCTCCAGCCGCTGCCTCCCTCCTCGGCCCAGGCGGCTTTACTGGAGGGGGGGAGGGCGCCATTGTCGGCAGAGGGAGGAGTGTGTCGCAGGTCACTGTTCTCCACAACTTGAGGGGCTTGAGGCATTTGATCACTGAGGGAATAAAAGTGTTGAACTTAATCAGGCTCTGAAACTGTAATCATGACCTTATTCTTCAGACAGTGTATAATGACTTACAGAGTCTCATCGTTCTTGTCTTCTTTGTCCTCCTCCACCTCCTCTTCTCCTTCATCGTCACTGAACTTCAATTTGGCAGAATAATCAATCTCCTCATGCGCTCCTACAGAAACTCAAACATTAGTCACATGCATAAATGAAGCTGCCAGGACAAACAAATTATCGGAAGGAAAATCCTGTCAGACCTGCCCAGCCCTCGTCGTTGTCGTGGTCGAGCTCATCCAGCTCCTTCAGGTCGTCCTGCTTCAGGATGGAGGGCCGCTTCAGTGCCTCTGTGTCACGAGGGGCCTGAGCCCGGTCTGGACCCTGTCCTCGAGAAAACCTGAGACAGAGTTTGAGTGAATCAAACCTTTCATATCACTGAGAACATCTTTGTTGAACAGCCAGTACCTTGGGGTGGGTCCTTCACCTGGAGGAGGGTATCTATAGGGCCCCTGAGGCCCATAAGGTCCCGGGAAGGGCAAATACGGAGGATACATCTGAAACGGAACAGTCAGATGTTAAAAGCCTGTGTTAAAGCATTAACACGTGAAGTGAGGACTTACGAATGGAGGCATGATTCCTCTGTAGGCGGGGAAGCCCGGGCCCACAGGGGGCTGGGCCAGGGCCAAGGCGGGACTACCGGCTGGAGGGTTCCTCTGAGGCCCATGGTTCTGGTTCTGAGGCGGGACCCCCGCTGCCCCGTCCATGACCAGAGCCCCTCCAGAGCCTCCGTCCACAGCCCCCTCCCCAGTGAGGGTCAGTGTGCGGCCCCCACCGTCCCGCCAGCTTGTAACGTCTGACAAAAGAGAAGAGTTAAAACCGAGAACGCCTGAGTGGAACAGTTGTAGAAGTGAAATGGCGCTCACTCTGGGGGCGGAGGCTTGGTCCGGGCCCATACCACTGATCTGCAGTGCCCTGTTCTTTGCCAGATTTGTCCGGGTCTCCAGCCGCCTGCAGGGTGGGAAACTCCTCTCGAGAGAACGGCGACGGTAGGTTTGATACCTTTCCACCTGCAGCAGGAGCACACTTCAGTCTGTGTCACACAGTTTGGACATTCACCACAGTAACTCACCGTCCCCTGGTGTCCCATGTGTAACACTGGCCTGAGCCCAGGACCTTACCCCTGCGGCCTGGACTGGGACCGGGGCCATAACCTTTGGACAGTAATTGGACAGTATTAGAGTTGGAGCAGAGCAGTGCACAGTGCAGGGAGTAGAGGAGAAAGAGCCTGGACCTTGTCTGCTGGCGCCTCTGGGACTGGGGGAGTTCTCGGTTGGGTCGGAACAGGCATCGGTGAAGCCGCAGGCGGCTGCGGCTCCGGCTGCGCTGATGACAATGCATCGGTACTGAGGACAGACAGATCCATCGTGAAAACAATTCACAGCATTTGACATAGGTTGTTATTTTAAGCATTGACAATCAGAACCTGTCAGTACCTCTTTGGGTCCGCTTGTTCCGGTTTGCTTGCCCATCCTGTGCCGTCTTTGGGAACGAGTGAGACGTTTGGGTCGTTGCCTTTGTTTTCTGCCTTCAGACTGGGCAGGTTGGCAGGAGGAGGCATACGCCGCGCGGAGGCAACTTTACCAAGAGACTGCAGGCCATGGCGGGGGGTAGCTGCAGCAGAGCAGAGCTCATTAGAGAGGACAAAAGCAAGAGACCCAGACTTCAGGCTCCAACTGAACGTCAATCATGTGTCAAGAAAGACCAGAACGCCTAATTCAAATGTGTTGGAAAACGTATTATTGCTATATAATTGATACACAAATGTTTGTAAAGTGGTGTGCTGCTGGGTGAGGGGTGGGTGAGGCGTGGGGGAGAAGCCTGAATAAAACATGGAGCTGACACAGAAGTCAAACACATCCACAAGTGAAGCTCTGTGCAGCGCGGCCTCCGAGGATTTCACTTTCCACAGACACCAGTGTGCGCCTGGATTCTTTAATAAAAAGGATATTGCGCTATTCTAGACTCACTTTCCTCCTCACCCAAATCATTAGTTTTCATTTACTTAAGTTCTAACTTTATGACAGTTGACCTAGTTTACCTCAACGCCAGAAAAAAACAGTTCTCATGATTTACCTCAGAGCTCAGACTGAATGAGTGGGTTCACCACAAAGACATTTGTTTTGGAATTAAGATGACACATATTATTTCTTCTCCAGATAGAGAACAACCCGATGCAGAAATCATAATTAATGCAAAGAACATAATAAGAACATAATGTCCAGCTCTGACGACAGAAAACGACAGCGTCTGCAACACAGGGATGCGTATAATATTTACAGTATCAGCATTTCCCGAGTGCAGAGTGTGCTTTAGAATCTCATCTATTTCCCGCATTGAAACATCAGCAGCAGAGCTCTCAGGGGCGGGCGGATAATGCATCACGGAGATGGAGCTGAGGAGGTATTTGTGATCACTGCACTCTCAATTATGAAGAGAGAGAGGCTTCAGACACCGCGGCTTTTGCTCCCAATGGAAGTCAACAACATAAAGGCATCTGTCGGCGAGCGGAGACAGCTGACGGGCGGCCATTTTGAAAACCAATACTCCAGGAGCAGAGAGCAGGCGACGCGCTGACAATGAGAGCTGTGTGTGACCTGCACCTTGTGCCTGTGGCACAAGTATGAAAGTGAAACTTCTGTTGTTCCAGATTTAGGATTCAGTCAAAGTCAAAATCAAGACACTTTAAACATGTTTCAAATACCGCTCCGGTCAGGGCTGTGACACTTAATTTATTCCGGGCCAAATCTTTTTAAATAAGAGCTGGTCGAGGCCAAAAGTAGAAAAATAGTTTTCTTAATCCAAGTTTAGCTCTTCTTCAAAATGTATTTTTTATGATTCTTTTATAATATGAGTGATGTTTGCAATAAAACATAACTGATAAATATGTGATAAATAGTAACTTTGATAACTATGATAAATAGTAGGTTTGAATTTTAGAAGGAATTCAGTGTTATGATTAGCTCACTAAACAGATGTTATGTTTGCATGTTTGGTTTTGGAGATCAAAATGAATCAAATCCCAAATCTTAGAAAGTAGATCATTTACAATTCCCTGATATTTATTAAATAAAATAATAATGACAAAAAGTAGTTTGATGAAGCCAGATGCACAAACTTATAAGCACAGTACATCCATTACACATTGGATCATGAAGAGGCACAATTTGAAACCAAAAAATCTCCAAAGACCTGTGATGGTTTGAAGCGCCGCACAGATCAGTGGACTTAGCGGTGGTCACAGTTCTACTCACCAACAGGCTTTTGTGTTTCGAGGCTCTTTCCTTTGTACGTATCAAACAGGTTGAGGGATGCATACTTGGCTTTGCCTTCCTTCCCCTTTGCAGTTTGCCCAGAGCGCTCTGACATTGCGCTGTCCGCTCATTGAGTATGGTGAGGCCTGAGACTGTGGACAAACAAGACAGACACTGGTCAGAGAGATGCACATGGGGGAATAAAAACACTGATGAAATACAAGGATCAACTGCAGCCTGGGAATGTAAACTCTCGGATCTAAAAGGATCGGAAAACCTCTTTATCACATCTGTATTTGGAGAAACCAGGTTCAAACAGGCAAAACACATAAACACAGACCACAGAGAGAATAGTACATGCCTGACTCCGTGCTTCAGTTAAAACACACAGGAGTCGGAATAGCAAAAAATAGCTTGATGTGACAAGTTAGAGCCATAAAGCCTAGCGTACATCGACAGAGAAACTGGGGACGACTAGTTGCAAGGCGGCTTTTGGCGACTGAGAGGAGATGGTGGGAGATGATCAGTTGCGCGATGTGCGCGCTCTTACAACTGGAGATAAACAGTCGGTCTCCAGTTTCAGTCAGTTGCCCGTGTTCTACTTTTCGACAAGTAGTTGTCCTCAGTTTCGGAGATATGACCCGATGTGCGCGCTCCATGCGCCGCTCCGACAACGTGTGTGTATTGCGTGTATTGCGCCCGCAACAGTTTATGTCAGAAAACACACTGTAGTTGAGGCCAGTTGCTGTCGATGTACGCGCTGTTATTCCCCAGACTGGTCTGCTACTGGGAGTTGCCCGTTTTCGTCAAATTGTTGATGTGTGCGGGGCAGCAACTCATATGCGACGGATATAATCAGTTGCCAGTCCGATGTACGCTAGGCTTAAGAGCCAACTCTGAGGAGCACAGGGACTGGCCTCCTGCTGGGACTCTGAGGAGCACAGGGACTGGCCTCCTGCTGGGACTCTGAGGAGCACAGGGACTGGCCTCCTGCTGGGACTCTGAGGAGCACAGGGACTGGCCTCCTGCTGGTCCCAGAGTCAGGACTAAACATGAGAAAGTAGTGTTTCAGATTTATGCAGCTAAAATCTGGAACAGTGATAATGAAAGTAGCTAAAAAAACATCCAACATTCCTCACACTTGTGTCTACAGTGATATTCTGAGATCTTTTTTTAATGCTACCCTCGGCCCGATGTGGAAACATGCAATCACTTCAGCAGATATTTCAGTGGGCCCAGTGTGGGTCTTTAAACTCAAGAAGGGTGACTTCAGCTAAGGCGTTAAGTCCCACAGAGGGGAAATGTCAGTGTTGCATCACGGTTACAGAACAGTAGTAACAGTAGAAACAATAACTCTATACAAAATAAAATAAAATCTCTAACTTCAGCATATCAAAGTCAAACTGTCGTTTGAGCACAATAACGTCAGAAAATAGTCTATAAATGAAACTATTGCGTCATTATAATTTTGCATAAGGTACAAATGAACCCACTTCCTGTTCGTGTGATAAAAGCTGACGACTATTGACATCTGTCTGATTCTGGGAGAGTTTTAACGACGCTCCCTCCTCCCTCCACATCCCATTAACGGCAATTATCCACGACGGACGACTCCGCTGTGGTGATTACGTAGAGAAGGCTCAGAATGAAGGTGTGGAGATCACCATGCCAATAAAAAACTAACCGTGAGGTGGGCGATACGGATTAAAATAGACTGTTCATAATGTGCGGTTACAGAATGATAACTGAGACAAGAATTGAGAAAGGCCTCTATGATTAGAAGAATGTTTCAGTGTTTGGAGGGAACCAAGACACGGACAGGCCTCTTTTGATTCTGCTTTTAACATTTGGCTTTAAAATTCACCATTTAATTCATTACCAGAAGTTAAATTAATATATTCAATTCCATAAACACAGCACTGGGGTTGGTTGGATGCCCATAATAAATCCCAACTGATAGTTTAGGCAGAGAATAATAAAAATAATCCCTAAAATATCCTTTACAGTATTTCAAATTCTTGAAAAAGTGGCCTCCCAACAACTTACTGAATTTTTAACAATGAATAATTCTTTTGATATGTTCCAATCTGGGTTTAGACCCCACCACAGCACTGAGACCGCTCTAGTGAAGGTAACAAACGACATTCGACTTCACACTGATGCAGGTAAAGTCACAGTTTTGGTCATGTTAGATCTTAGTGCCGCGTTCGACACTGTCGACCATGAGATCCTCATGCAGAGACTGGAGGACTGGGTTGGTGTCACTGGCACAGCCCTAGACTGGTTTAGGTCTTACCTGGAGGATAGGAAGTACTCTGTGGAGATTGGAGACTGCGTCTCAGATGATGTGGCCCTGACCTGTGGAGTACCACAGGGGTCGATCCTGGGACCTCTCCTATTTAATCTCTACATGCTGCCGTTAGGTCAGTTAATACAAAGAAACAAAGTGTCCTACCACAATTACGCCGACGACACTCAGATCTATGTCTCACTGACTGCAGGAGAACATGGACCACTGGATTTGCTCCTTCACTGTATCCAACAGATCAGTGACTGGATGCAAAATAATTTCCTCCAGCTAAATGCAGACAAAACCGAAATCATTGTCTTTGGTCCCCAGAAACAAAGAGAGGGCGTCATTTGTCAACTTCAGTCTCTCTCCCTACTTCCTTCAGACAAGGTCAGAAATTTGGGGGTAATACTGGACTCAGACCTAAATTTCAATAGCCACATAAAATCAATAACATCAACAGCTTTTTACCATCTGAAGAACATTGCCAAAGTTAGAAATGTAGTGTCCAGGGCAGACTTGGAGATTCTTGTCCATGCATTTGTCTCCAGCAGGCTAGACTACTGCAATGGCCTGCTTACAGGTCTGTCCAAACAGACCTGTAAGCAGGTGCAGTACATCCAAAATGCAGCAGCTAGAGTCCTGACAGGAACCAGGAAGTATGACCATATTAGTCCGGTCCTCAGGTCTCTGCACTGGCTTCCTGTGGCTCAAAGAATAGATTTTAAAACGGCTCTGCTTGTGTACAAGTCTCTCCATGGCCTTGCACCAGAATACATTAGTGACATGTTGGTGTCATATGAACCGGCCCGGACTCTGAGGAGCACAGGGACTGGCCTCCTGCTGGTGCCCAGAGTGAGAACCAAACATGGGGAGGCTGCGTTTCAGATCCATGCAGCTAAGATCTGGAACAATCTCCCTGAAAATGTGAGGGAGGCGTCTACTCTGTCAATGTTCAAATCCAGGTTAAAGACTGTTCTGTTTGCCTGTGCATACAACTGAAGGATTTTATCTCCATTTCTAATGCACTGCTGTCATTTATTTATTTTTTTAAAATTTCTTGTGTAATTTTGAAAGTTTTAATGGTTTTATTCTTTTGTGTGATTTTAATGTTTTAATTGTGTTTTAATCTTTTGTGTGATTTTAATGTTTTAATTGTGATTCTGGTGTTTGTTTTATGTGATGATTTGTGATGTGGACTGTGAAGCGCTTTGTGTTGCCCTGTGTATGAAAGGCGCTCTACAAATAAACTTTGATTGATTGATTGATTGAGTATCCCAAAGATTCTGACGGGGTCTTGAGGATCTTAACTGCATGAAGGCAGGTGCGGGTTAGACCATGGGTTGGACAGACAAAAATCAGGTTCAATATCAATCAAACCACAGAGCAGACGTAATCCTTGATAATAAATTAGTGAATACTTCACAAATTTGGAAGAACAAACCCAGGAAACCGGAGACGGGACAGAGGATATCAGAGGGCCATAGTTTTTGCAGCATGGCTAAAGTCGCCGGCGGTGGCGCACTGCTCCATTGCCAGACCAGATTAGTAAATTAGGTCGTGGGATGGTTGGTCAGCTTCGTGCTCGGATTAACTCAGTCTGACTGCTCCACAACTGTAGGGACTAGAGACAGGCCTCAACGAGAAGATACAGCAAAGTACCAGCAATAAGACCAGCAATAAGACCAGCGCTGGCATTTAAAAAAACCAGAGCAGCCACAAAATCCATTCATGAAGTTACATCATTCAAGATTCTTCTGTTTCACAACATTAGTGTTTTATTCATGAAGACTGTTTTACACTGAAAAGGGGTTAAAAGACAGATATATCAACGGAAATGATCAAGACAAGTTTTTACACAACATTTCTATAAAGGTTGATCTCATCTTACATCATATGCGCTGTGAAAACACCAGCGCATTGTCATGACCTGAAAATACCTCAGGTTTGTACAGAGACTATGGTGCCGCAAGTAATTAATAGTTTAATTAGTATTTTAAAACACATTCTTATTGTTTCAGAACAATTATTCTAAATGAGACGCATTGATCAAACATGCTGTGATTCTCGTGAGATATAGTTACTTATATGTTAAGACTCAGGTATAGCAGACATAAGGTATAGCTTAAGGATCCATGTTTACAGACTTTGGAGGTTCACTATGTGGGAATCTGTAAAGGGGAAACACGGCTATTGATCCAATTAGTTTGACATTAGAACAACAGAATGTGACAAACTTTAGTTCATTGTTGGTTCTAAAACTTGCCAAATCCTCATAATGACATTAGTTGAGAGGGCTCAGAGTGTTTGAAAGCTGGGTTAGCCCGATATGATGATAGATCCATGGGTTATCCCTGTGTGGCTGCCTCCTGATGCTGCCTAGGGAGGGGATTCTGCGTTGTTTCATAACGTGTTACCACAGACTGAAACAATGCCCTATCAGCTGTTTCCTACGTGAGGCTGTTGCTGTTGCAAACCAGAGCAGACATCTTCACTTGTAAATCACCATCTTTTCATACGGGCAGTGCGCTGGAAGCAGGGGTTATGAGTAGAAAGGGGTTTTAAGGAGAACAAAACAAAATGGCGGTGGATGTAGGCCTACATCAGTGCAGGCGAGCGGCAGCCACAATAACTCACACCGCCTGCATAATAACACACACAGGGACAGGGGTATGCTTCCACACGCACACTATGTTCATCATTCTTCTTATAAAACTACTATTTTCCACGACCAGGGGAAATGTGTGCCAGTTGATTTGATATAGATTGTGTTTCATTATTTAGAGGCTTCTTCATGTTTGATTATTTTTATGAAAACGTCCTGAGCACGTGTATTCAGACTGATTCTAAATAACAACACCAAATAGGAGTAGATTCTGACGCAAGCAGCTTCACTACATATAATCCATAGTTTCTGCGCTACTGTTAGCATCCGCGCGTTAGCATCAGCGCGTTAGCATCCGCGCGTTAGCATCAGCGCGTTAGCATCAGCGCGTTAGCATCAGCGCGTTAGCATCAGCGCGTTAGCATCAGCGCGTTAGCATCAGCGCGTTAGCATCAGCGCGTTAGCATCAGCGCGTTAGCATCAGCGCGTTAGCATCAGCGCGTTAGCATCAGCGCGTTAGCATCCGTGCGTTAGCATCAGCGCGTTAGCATCAGCGCGTTAGCATCAGCGCGTTAGCATCAGCGCGTTAGCATCAGCAGAGACATAAGAAACAACACACATTGGTTGTTGAATAACCAGGGTTTCACGAGTTTTGCAGCACACACGAAGGTCAGGCGTTATTAATAATGAAACAAAAGAGTAACATATCACGGTCACACTTTGATATCGTTACTTCTTTCAGTGAATTTGAGCCGAAAGCATCATTCAGAAGAATCCATCACAGGATGTTGCACACTGGATGAAAAGAGGCACTGATCACAGGTGAATCAACCCAAATCCAACCAAATGCAAAAGGTTAAAACTACCAAACTCCTTCCACCAGAACTGCACTGGACCATCAGCAGCATTACCTAAAGGTTATGGTTCTAGTTATTACGATGAGACCAAAGTAAGAAATGCCATGATCCTGAATACAATCTACAGATAATCACGTCTTACGCCAAATATGTGAAGACAAACACTGAATCAAAACACAGACATTAATATCCCCCTGTAACATTCTAGTGGCTAACACATGTAGCTGAGCTTTGCTAACAAGCTCAGAACAGCCAACATCAAGATGGCTCTAAAATACAAATCACAACAAAATCATTGATTGTGTGAATCTCTGCGCGTTTAAAGGGTTAACTTTAATTACAATGAAAAGGTTGCAGGACGTAAACAAAGCTCTGAATGTGAGCACTGACCTGCTCCTGTCCTGACTGGTCTCGGGCTTTTATCAGAAGGATGTTAGCGTTAGCGTTAGCATTAGCGTTAGCATTAGCATTAGCATTAGCATTAGCATTAGCCTCCGCTGTGTGTCACGTAGCTCTTAGCAATGACCCGAGCTAAACAACTGCATTATCAAACAGAGGCTTCATGCAGCGCACCCAGCCCCTGTGATTCACCACAGAACCATACATTACAGCAGAAGTAAACACTGGCCTTACTTGCACTCCTTCACGTTTGTCCCAAATAAAATTAAAAGGGGAAAGGAAATGGACTGGATCCGTCAATGAAGAGCCGTCAACGGCTTCTGCCGAAAGATGGAGCCGTTTGCAGAGGAGCGTTCTCACAGAGTTTAAAAAATGCCATTAAAATACTTTAAATGTACTTAAACTTAGAGTAAGCATTAGAAAATCTCATTTATTGTGTAGTACATGTTATTCAAAATGGTTTGTCAACACTGCAAATGAAAATATAACTCTATTAAAAGCTTACAAATATAATAATTGTTAGTCTATTATCCATAAGTGACCTTTCCATGAATAAAACTAAAAATCTGTTCTTTCTCCCTACATTAGAATAACTAAGGGTTAGTTACAAAAGACCACACGAGAAAAGAGTGAAAGTTTGTCTCCACATGGACATATTTGTGATTAGCCATGCTTCAAATATAGTAGTCATTTAGTGCCAGAATGAAACACTACTTCAATGAACAAATGTCTAACAAAAAGGCCTTTTACTTAAGTACACATAAACACTTCTCTACGTTTACTTCAGTACTTTAACTTGAAGTGTACATTCACAGTATCAATGATGACCAGTACTTTGTCACCTTCGTAAATGTTACATGAAAATATATAATGATAGAAATCTGAGCTGTCATCTGAGAACCTGCTCAGCGGCTTTACAACGACATATCTGCAGGTGAAGAAAACTCAACATGTCATAGGAACTTAGGCGGACAGTAGCAAATGGTTTATTTGTAAGTGTCCTATCACAACTATGCAGACGACACTCAGATCTATGTCTCACTGACTGCAGGAGAACATGGACCAGTGGACTCACTCCTTCACTGTATCCAACAGATCAGTGAGTGGATGCAAAACAACTTCCTTCAGCTAAACGCAGACAAAACTGAAATGATTGTCTTTGGTCCCCAGAAACAAAGAGAGAGCGTCATCTGTCACCTACAGTCTCTCTCCCTAAAACCTTCAAACAAGGTCAGAAATCTAGGGGTAATACTGGACTCAGACTTAAATTTTAATAGCCACATCAAATCAGTAACATCAGCAGCTTTTTACCATCTAAAAAACATTTGCCAGGATCAAAAACATAGTGTCTAAAGCAGACTTGGAGATTCTTATCCATGCATTTGTCTCCAGTAGGTTAGACTACTGCAATGGCCTGCTCACAGGTCTGTCCAAACAGGCTGTAAAACAGCTGCAGTACATTCAAAATGCAGCAGCTCGAGTCCTGACTAGAACCAGGAAGTACGACCATATTAGTCCTGACTAGAACCAGGAAGTACGACCATATTAGTCCTGACTAGAACCAGGAAGTACGACCACATTAGTCCTGACTAGAACCAGGAAGTACGACCACATTAGTCCTGACTAGAACCAGGAAGTACGACCACATTAGTCCTGACTAGAACCAGGAAGTACGACCACATTAGTCCTGACTAGAACCAGGAAGTACGACCACATTAGTCCTGACTAGAACCAGGAAGTACGACCACATTAGTCCTGACTAGAACCAGGAAGTACGACCACATTAGTCCTGACTAGAACCAGGAAGTACGACCGCATTAGTCCTGACTAGAACCAGGAAGTACGACCATATTAGTCCTGACTAGAACCAGGAAGTACGACCGCATTAGTCCTGACTAGAACCAGGAAGTACGACCATATTAGTCCTGACTAGAACCAGGAAGTACGACCGCATTAGTCCTGACTAGAACCAGGAAGTACGGCCGCATTAGTCCTGACTAGAACCAGGAAGTACGACCACATTAGTCCTGACTAGAACCAGGAAGTACGACCATATTAGTCCTGACTAGAACCAGGAAGTACGACCATATTAGTCCAGTCCTCAGGTCTCTGCACTGGCTTCCTGTGGCTCAGAGAATAGACTTTAAAACAGCTCTGCTTGTTACAAGTCTCTCCATGGCCTCGCACCAAAATATATTAGTGACATGTTAGTCCCATATGAACCAGCCCGGACTCTGAGGAGCACAGGGACTGGACTCCTGCTGGGACTCTGAGGAGCACAGGGACTGGACTCCTGCTGGGACTCTGAGGAGCACAGGGACTGGACTCCTGCTGGGACTCTGAGGAGCACAGGGACTGGCCTCCTGCTGGGACTCTGAGGAGCACAGGGACTGGACTCCTGCTGAGACTCTGAGGAGCACAGGGACTGGACTCCTGCTGGGACTCTGAGGAGCACAGGGACTGGACTCCTGTTAGTGCCCAGAGTCAGAACTAAACATGGGGAGGCTGCTTTTCAGATTCATGCTGCTAAAATCTGGAACAGTCTTCCTGAAGATGTGAGACAGGCCTCCTCTCTGACAATGTTTAAAACCAGGTTAAAAACAGTTCTGTTTAGCTGTGCTACAACTGAGGGATTTTATATTTGTATCTTTCGTTTTAATGTTCTGTGATTATTTATGATTTTAATGCTATCTTGTTCAGCACTTTGAGTTGCCTTGTGTATGAATTGTGCTATACAAATAAACTTGCCTTGCCTTTATTTAGAGACCATGGAGTTTACAAAGATCATTTGGGGATTCATACATTTCATTAGAACACAATGAATTACTATATTTTCAACCATATTTAAAAATCACATTATTTACATTTTACAAAAGGCGACTACTGTAAAGAATACAGTATTATATTTAATGATAAAACTTAATAATAATGGCACATCTGAATCAAACATTTCAAGCAATATCAAAATAAAAGGAAAAAAACAATGCAAAATAAGAAAATTAAAATGGAAAAACAGTACAGTACACTTTGAGAATAGTCAAAGCTGAAAGAAATTACAGCTTTCTGAATTTGAAGACACATTTGTCTTTCATACATTGACAAAACAACAGACCATCGAAGAGAAAATGAACACGATGAAATTAAGCAAAAAAGGCTCGATTCAAGGCACCTTTATAAATGTTCAAGAACAGTCCCTTTTTTACCCTGAGAAAATGGTGCAAGACGATGAAAAATCTTTTGTCATTTCCAGACCTGGGAAAGATGAGAAAAAGAATTAAAATATGTTAAAAATAATCATATAGAAAATCGGTTTGCATTTCATTCAGCAAAGCCAATTGTGTGGTTTTTATGATTTGCATTGAATCAACAGGGGCGCCTAAACTTTCTGACTCAACAGGACTAAATTAATGTATGAAACATTTGGGGGCACTGATATTTTGATTACATAATTTTGTTGTGTTTTTTTTTTTTTAACTAGAAATGAATATACTTTGAAAATCCAAAAAAAAAAAAACATCAGCCAAACTAAAGCCGCTGGACCCACTTTGTACCCCCCAGATTTACAACTCCAGCGAAATCAGCAGTATTCGAACATTATCCGTTGTAAGCTAATACATGTTTTGATAATTATTTGTTTTACATGTTATACAAGTTACAATGTTGCCATTTGCAGTAAAACCACATTGGAAAAACTGTGCAAGACTACCCCAGTGTGCACCAGAGAAGACGGCACACACCAGAGCTCCTGCCACATGGTCTTGATGGTCTTATTGTGAATGTGTCTTTGCCAGGACACATCTTTGAATCTCAATGGGATTTTCCTGGTTAAATACAGACTAAATGATCAAATAAAAGCAGTAGTTAGATTGTGGAGGGTCTGGCACTTGTTTGCGTCCATCTTAAAGCAATAATGTTCTCCTTGGATTAATCTCTCCAAGACAAGAAAAGTGGCAAACATTTCACTGGCAAACGCTTTTACCACGAAGGATTATTTATTTACCCAGCCATGGAGTCACAGTGCACAGTTATTACATCCCCACCTTTATTTAATGAATTGTCAGGTACGAGTCGGCGTTTTAAATAAACACTGTGAATGTTTGATTTAAAGAACACAGCACATGTTGCATTGTTTTGTTGAGAATGACAAGTCCATTCACCAAACGTTACTTACACGGCTCTTTACGATGCAGGATTTGCACCTAAACTCTGACTTCCTTAACCCACAGACCCACAAAGTCTTCTTTTGTTTAAAGTGCAAAAGCTTGATTGTAACACTAGATAGTTTGAGATATCCGGGAACTGAACTGGCAGATATTTGTCTAACACGCAAATCAAATCATTCTTGCATAACGTAAGTAAGTAGTTGACTTTGTTCTCGAGAATTAGAATCTAAAGTGAAGAAAATGACAGTCTAGGATCGTGTAGATAACCAAAGCATGTAGTGGAAAAATACTGCCTTGTGCATATTGTAAGAATGATGAGTTAGAACTTTAACCACAGCAGCTTCAAAGTGTCATGAAATATACCAAAAAGCTCAAAAATAATTGGAAGAAGAGTCACATTTTCTTCACATATCAGCAGCCATTTTGTTGCTCTTTATCGGAAGTTGATGCGTCACGTGACTGCGAGCCAAGAATTAGCTTCACTGGTATCATAGAATGGAACAGAACCATCTGTGTCTGTTTACCTTCATAAACCTCCGTAAAGGTGGATCTTGGCAAACGACACGGTCTCGTCATAGATTTTGTGGCCCTTCTCGTAGATGACATAGATGTATTTTCGGTCTTCAGCTGAGCCGCTCTTCAGAGACGTGAGGCAGGAGTAGGCACTTGGTCCGGGCCAAAGTTGAACCGCTTCTTTCTCCCAGGATTTACCGTGATTCAGCGACCAGCGCAAGGTCAGGTTCACTCCTGAACAAGAAGAAGAGAGAGAGTTCATCTTTACAGAGCAGAGAGGATTCATGGTTTTACACTGGTCCAGACCAGAACAGAGAGGATTCATGGTTTTACACTGGTCCAGACCAGAGCAGAGAGGATTCATGGTTTTACACTGGTCCAGACCAGAGCAGAGAGGATTCATGGTTTTATACTGGTCC